AAGTTCTACGTCATACAAGAGGAGCATCATCATAAATTCGATGCATTCATCGTTGTTGAGATGTACGGATTGATCAACGCCATCTTCTTCTTCCTCCTCCTCTTCTCTATCATTGATGATGATGACAGGATTTTTGTCCTCCTTCTCGCCTTTTCAGACGACATCCTTTTCCATGTGGACGTCCTCTTCGACGGGAACATTCTCCTCCCCTTCTCAATCAATTTTATTTTTTTACACAAAGGCCCGTGGTTTTCCATGTCTTTTTTTTCTTAGTCACAAATTATTACTTAATCACGTAAACCGTTAAATAGCGGAAAATTTTGCAGTTAATAAATTTAAAAATCACTCGTAATATATTGCAATACACTGCTTTTCGTAAGTATTATATTCGCGCACGCAAACAAGACTCGGCGTTAAGTTATACGCAACGACACTACTGTGATTACTTTTTATGCGAGACCGTGAGTTGCGAGGAATTGAGATTATTAGACCTCAATAACGAACCGAAATTCTACATATGCTCAATCAATAGCGTCCATTCAAATTGTGTTATACTGGTGTCGCGCACGCAAACAAGACCCAATAAAGACTGACACTGGGAAGCATTCTTTACCATAACAATACTGCCTAGGATACGTTTTACTTTTGCGCTGCACAGGAAACATTTATGGAAGAAATGAAACGCTTAAGATTATAAAAAATGTTTGCAGCCTATAAAATTATAGAACTCTAGACATTATAAAAAAAATGCGTAGGTAACAAAAGCTCGCATGTTAGAAAAAGAAAGAGCGTGACGATAAAGTACAAGGATATCCTTTTTTTTCCTTTATTCTTTGTTTATGACTTAGTTGTCACAATACGTTGTGTTTTTTGTTCTTTTTTACTAGTGCGTCGGGTCAAAGGATATGACGGATGGGTAGTAAAATAAAGTATATATATAATATATAGTGATGCGAACGAATTTTTTTTATTCACATCTTATTTCACTGATTTTTCGTACGTATTAAAAAACTAAAGTTAATAGCACGCAATCGACGAGCCAATGTCCATTGAAGATGTCACTATTGCGTTCTTGGACGCGATATTATGTGATATTATGCGATATTATGACGCGAAGAATTATGTATACTTGACATCGACTGTATCGACGAGTCAGACTAATTGTTCGAACGTTACATCGATACATCCGCCAAACTCAAACATATGGCGTAATGTCGTTTTGGTCGTAATGTCATCATCATGCGTACGGACGAAGAATCAAGACATAACGAGCGTCATTTAGCGCGCAAACTCTAGCGGTTAGCGGTCCAACGCTTATGAAATTGTCTTTGTATTCGTTCGGAATATCTTGTAAATACTCCATCGTTGCTCGTAGAGGCCCTTCCACGTTTCAAGATTGCGACAGTTCACATTCACGATGATCTCCCAGAGCGATTTCCACGTAACTCGGTGGATCAACTAGTTGATTCCAATTTCAAAAATTTGTAGCCCGTATTTGTCAAGTCGGTCTATCTGTTCGGTAATGTCTGTTCGGTAAGCGCACCGCGTGACTTTCTTTTATGTTGTATTAGTACAAGGTGCTTCCGCAACATACACATCAGTAAATCGGGTTGCCTATCTGTCTATCGACAGGGATATGTTATCGGCAATGCAGAATAAGATTAGATTGCAAATCCGATAGGAAATGACGCAAGAGAAATTGAATTTTACCACTCTGGTATAGTGTAAAATTTAATAATATGATATAAAATATGTATTTAATAATACAGATAATATCTGACTTAATCTAACATAAATAAAATTTAATAAATGTTTAAAATTATATAATTATAAATATTTATAATTACAAAACAAATTTTTTTTTCTTAAAATGTCTATATAACAAATATTTGCTGTAACCGACATTTTTTTAACGCAATTCTGCATATAAAATAGCTTATCTTGCTAGATTATAAGGGAAGTCTGAAAACGTGTTACAAATTCTGTTTTTAAAAATTTATTTTCCAGCAGAAGTTAATATTTTAGTTTGTAAGAAGGTACTTACACAAATAAATCTTATTTCTTTTATAGAACATGGTTGAATTTAAAATTATCTGTTTGTTTTCATAAAAGAAAATCTTTCATAGAGGTAGTGAAAAAAATCGTAGGATATCACCCTAAAATTTTTTAGTATAAAATACAATTATTGTGTTTGATTTTGTTTACTCAATAAATAAGAATCATGTTCGTAAATTGCATTCGAATAATTTTAGCATGCCCTGTTATATGTTGTTTTGTTTCCCTCTCTGCACCTTGCACTCCTCGTAGCCTCCCGATCATTTTCTGTTTGACAGAAATTGGCGTGAATCACAGAGGTTAAAACGCGTTAAAAATTAAAAGATAATATAATGGAATGAAATCATTATTCATTTAAAGAATTGACAGACATGATTCTTATTTACGGCGAGTGTCGAAAGAATCAAAGGCAAGCGGCTGCATTTTACGTTCAAAGGTTTTCGGATAGACGACACTCAGACCACGGTTTTTATCATCTTTATCAACAAGTAGAAACAAATGAGCAATTTCGTAAATCAAGAAAACCGATTCATGTTCCACAAAGAAACCAAAGGCAATTGATTGATTATGTTCAACAGGGTATTGAGGCAAATCCTCATACGAGCACAAGAGCGATTGCCACAGATTTGAACATGAATCATGTTACGATTCACAAAATAACATTCGCTGGATTGGCACCCATTCAAACGGCATACAACAGGAAGAGGAGGAGAAGGAAAAGGAGAAGGAGGAGGAGGAGAAGGAGAAGGAGGAGAAGAAGGAGGAGAAGATAAGATTTATTTTATATAATTTATTATAATTTTTTTATACACTCCCCTCGCCTACGATTACTCCGCACGCTCCGCTTTTCCTCGCCTACGAGTATCCCTCGCGTTCCACGATGAAAATGGTAGATTAAGGAGACTACTGGAGGAGACATCTCCTCAAAGAAAGACAAAAAAATCAGCGATGACGCCTTCAAGGAAGGTAATAGAAGAGCTAGAGAGAACGCGAGGGAATATTGAATATAATAGATGGATTTTATCTTAGGCGCGGATAAATGAACGTTCGGAAAATGTTGACAGGCAACTACCTAAGGTAGTATCTAATATAAGAATAGACAGAAATTTATCGATATATGACAATTTTCTTAATATGATGGCGAGTCTTGTGGCTAAACAAGTTGATAAATGCTTCCCACGAGAAGAATCATTAATGGTAGAGCTGAGTACGTGGACCTTCCAAGTGTAGATGATGCTCTGGGTAAGATTTGTAATGCATGGGTATTAGGAGTGAGAAGAAATAGTAGATCTCGGCAAAATAGTGGAGATAGATTTGCGAGACTTAGGAGTTTGATCGAATGTCTGAGTCCTCGTTGTACATGGGCGATGATACTGATAGGCAGTCGAGACCTGTATTTCACGGGAGGAGATCAAGAATTAAAGAGAAGTTCGGTATTCCTGCAAGATCGATTTCACCCAATAAGGTTAGAGGGAGGTTGTGAGACGCGTCAGATTGTTCAAGACATTAATAGAAGACCACTGCCTTTGGTTGCTGTGGTCTTGACTGTGAAAGAGAGTGGTAAGATCATCTATGCCGATGTTATGAAAAGAGCAAGAAATGAGATAGATAATTTGGGTATCAGTGATATGAAGATTAAAGATTAGTCACTGGAGACTTTTCTTGGAGATATAGAGGACTCTACTATTATAGAAAAGCAAATGTTTCAGCAGATAGGGAGACCTTTGATGGAAATGAGGTACAGATTGTGAGATCTGTCCGTAAAGGTTATACTTTCAGACTTAGATGACTCTATAAGTGTAGCTGAGATTATTACCACTGTCTCATATACTGAGAAATGTGAAGCGGACAGTATTAATATCGATAGGATATGGAAGGGACGGAATGGGTTCTGTGTGGATGCAATGTCCATTGTCGGCAGCACTCTCTATGGCTAATAGAGAAGCCATTACTATAGAATAAGGTAACTATCAAAAAGGTAGAAATATTAAAAAGGAGAACTATACAATGTTATAGATGCTCGGTAAAGAATACGCGAGGTATAGATGCTCCAGTAGGATGGATAGGACTGGTAGGTGTTTCAATTGTAAAGTGACATAGTTTAAGGCAGGTAGATATTCGAGATTAGCATCCGTAAAGCCGATTTTAAGGAAATTAATGTATGTACGGCATGTGATTTGGAAACGTCTAAAAACACTATATCATTTAAAATTATTTTAGAAGCTTCCAAATGAACTTGACAACCACCTTTTTTGTTAAAGTCAAGAATGTAATTAAAAACCGCATGTTGTACATACACAAAAATCAAAAACGGTTAAAAACGCATGTTGTACATACACAAAAACGGTTTGTTAAAAACGATACAATTCTGATCGATTATAGCGCACACGCGCTCGTGTGACGCGAAACGCGTAATTCGCTAACATCATAACCGCTGATTTTGCGGGCGCGAATGGCAATAACGTGCCACTTGGCTATCGTTATTAAAAATTGCCAATAGCTGTCCGAATCATGAGGTCACCTCAAAATTTTATAAATATAAATATAAATTCTAATACGAGGGGTATCCAGAAAATAAGTTCCGTTTGTATTATACGTTTAGTAAGGTCGATGTATGAGCGAGCTGGCAACACAGCATTGAAGAGGGGAAGCTACCGAATAGAATGAGCGGTGTTCGGCGTCAGTAGCTCGTGAAACACGGTCAGGAGAGGTTATCAAAATGGAGTCCTCCACTTCGCGTCCCGCCACCTCCATTCCGATTCCTTCTCGAGTTGTTTTGCGCGGCATCATTCAGTTTCTTTTTGCTCAAGATTTTAAATCGGTTGATATTCACAAACAGCTTGTTTCTGTATATGGAGAGAGTGTGATGAGTGAATCTATGGTGCGGAGATGGGTCCGAGAATTTAAGGCAGGAAGACATTCGCTTGAAGACAAAAGTGGGAGAGGCAGACCCTCCCTTATCACGGATGAGTTGACGACAAAAATTGAAAATGCGATTCGCAATGATTGTCGTTTAACTTTAGATGAACTCCACAACCTTTTTCCAGAGATATCCCGAAGTCTTATCCATGAGATCGTTTCAGAAAAACTCGAATTTCGCAAGGTTTGCGCCCGTTGGGTTCCCAGAGAACTGACTCCTCTACACAAGGCCACACGAGTCAGTTTAGTTGGGATGTTTTGACCCACCCACCGTATAGCCCGGATCTAGCACCATCGGACTACCATCTTTTTACGAAACTGAAGGAGTCCTTGGCCGGAAAACGCTTCCAAAGCGACGAGGAAGTTCAGACAGCTGTAATAGAGAATCTCATAGGCGATTTACGAAAGGAGCTTTTGTTCAATCAAATCGATAAAAGGCCGAATCGAGTGATCACTTTTTTTTAGTCGCAATTAACGTTCCGCAATTTAGATCAATCGCCTCTGAGACGCTCCGCCGAAAGAAAACTGCCGCGTTTGACTCGTGATAGAAATCCGAAAGGGTGTTCGCCTGCAAAAGGGAAACATTGATTTCCACTCGCGTTTATTTGTATTAAATTTATCATTTTAAAATTTGTTACACGTTTTGCGAAATTATCAATTCTGTGAATTGTTTAAAATAAAATTGTGATCTGTTACATGAACATTCGTGTAGATTGAATTTTCGCTCGAAAATGTTTCCGCTCAAATTCTCTTTCTCTCTCTCTCTTTCTCTCTCTCTCTCTCTCTCTTTCTTGCTTTCGAATAGTAGGGAACGTTCATATTGTCCGATTTGCTTAGAAGGGAAGCTCAGATGTGATTATCAATCCGGGAGTGACACATGTGTTAATTATCTCCCTAGTAGGATCGTAGGCAATAATTGGAATTCTCAGAAAGGTATAACGGAACGGAGGTCCGAGATTTTTAATGAAGACTGCTTATAAGAAGGATTAGATGTTACATTTGTTATAGATAAATTTAAATTATGACAGGCAGGCGCAGGATCTGTTATTACAGAGGGTAGTTGAGAGTGGAATTGATTTGGCGATCTTGTCTCTCAGGGCCTTATCGAGTTTCAGCTGATGATAAGCCAGTTCAATAAATAGTAATCCTCCTCGTGCAGTGTCCTGGCAAGAAGCACCTGACCCAAGTGTTAAGTGGAAAGTCTTGGACAATGATGAAGGTTTTGTTGCCGTCAAACATGGGGATCTTGTAGTGATCAGTTGTTATTTTTCTCTTATAGAAGATTGATTAATTTTAATTTTTTACTTAATACGCTAGAAAAGATTGTACGTGATAATAGTACTAAAATGTTAATTCTATGTGGGAATCTCAATGTAAGACATTTGTCTTAGGATAAAACTACACATATAAATAGGAAAGAGGAATTATTATTTAAATGGACTTTTGATATGATCCTCAAACTTGTGAATACTAAGGTTTCCACTTGTGTGTGAATGTCCTCTGTGGATGTATGCCTTGCTAACAGAGGTGCTTATAGTAGGATTACATTAGAATGGAGGACTAATAATGAAGTCACTATATCGGATTATTTTTACATTGATATACATTTGTCATTGCATGGGGCTCATCGTGCAGTGTTTTCGGCAATGAAATCTCCCTTTCTGAGATGAAAAATGAATGGCTAAACTATGTGATAAATTGGAAGCTTTCATTACGACTAGATTGTGAATAGTTGGTTTAGCTAACTGTAAGAGATTTAGTTGTGTGAAATGTTAAAAGACGCTTGTAATTTTGCGATGCCTAAGTTAAAGAAAATGAGTTGTCGCAATGTGTACTAATGGAACTTAGAAATAGATAACTGTAGGAAAGAATGTAACCAGATCAAAAGAAGATTGACGAGGGAAGAGAAGAAGTAGCATAAAGGTTAGGTTATTGAAGGCTAAATTTAGATCTGCTAAAAAGAAACTTAGGTCTAAGATAAGGAAGGCTAAATATAGTGCATGGTGGAAACTCTTGGATATACTTGAAAGAGATCCATGGGACAAACTACACAAGATTTATGAAAAAGCTGCGTAATAACTCTATTTGTGAAACTATGGACCCGAATATGGTTTGTCAAATTGTTAGTTTTCTTTCCCTATCGAAAAAAATGTCACGACGTTACACGATGAAATCATGTAGTTAAAACATATAAATCACGGAATTGTCCCAAATTAGTGATTTTTTAAAATTACGTAATTTGAAATAATAATATTAGAAATAATTTTTTCCATTATGTGCTTTTATAGTTATCAAATTTTAAAGAATTGAATGATAGAAATAGAAGAAAAAAGAACATATCATCATATAACTTCAAATTACGTAATTTTAAAAAGTCACGTACTGATTTGGAATAATTCATTACATGATTTACATGATTAACAGTGTTTTAATTACGTGATTTCATCATGCAACTGTGTGACGTGATTTTTTTTAACAGGGCATACTTTGACTATAGTATTAGGTGTAGTAAAAAGAAATCCATTATTTTTCCAATAGATGGCTTTCTTTTTACTACACCTAATATTAATAATTTTATTGCCTAATATACAATATTTTATTGCTTAATTATTTTTATAGCCCAATAAATGTATGTTGCGTTTATTAAATATAAATGTGATATAAAATTGATATAGGTAGGAGAGATTAGAGCCACTCACACAACACGAGTGACTATTTTCCGACTTACAGTCGACTTTTCTCAGTCGGCTTACAGTCGATTATGAAAAGACTGTCAGTCGGCTGTTTCCAGTTGATTTAAAGTCGACTTTCAACAGCCGCTTTATAGTCGACAGCAATCGACTATTTGCTGACTATTAACAGTTGACTTCTGAAAGTCGATTATTAGTCAATTATGTTTTAGTCAACTATAAATCGCCCGGCGCGAGTTCCGATCACCGCCGTGTGAGAGCCACGTGATGGTATATTAACCCATATTCAATATTAATACAGTACCACTCCGGCTTAGTGGCAAGTTATCAATTATAGAGATTGAAATTGAGATTATGTTCACTTCGCGATAAAATTAAAAGTTCACATGTTATGTACGTTTATTCTACGAAATTCTAAAGAGAGAAAAGTTTGGTGCCACTCGAGAACAGAATTCCTTCAAACATTAATATAACATTATGTTACATATATAACAGAATGTTGACGCTACCAACATTATGCTAGGGTCGTTCATGGAGCTTATAAACGCTACCAATACATTACCTGGGAAGAAATAGCATTGATAGTGCGCCGTTATGACGTAAAACGCTACCGCTAATAACGTTATGATTGTATTTGTTAACATCTATCTGCAGTCCCGCAAACAGCTTGATAGCGTTGAATGGCCCGAATAATGTCTCCTCAAACGCACCCTAATACTTGACAAATGTCTCCAAAAGTCGACTGTAAGTTGACTGTAAGTTGACTGAAAACACTTAGTAGTATTTGCTCTTTTGATCCTGCACAAATATTTTCCAAAATAGCCATGATCCATGATCACTTGAGTCACATGGAAGGTTAACTTTCTAAGGCTCCTCACGAACCACTCATTAATCACAGGACTAATCGCATTTCTTATTCTTTCTCTATATAAACGGAGATAGTGTAATCTATGTGACCATTCAATCATTTCTCTTTCCAGTAAGTTTCTTTCTTTATTCCCAACAAATACTCCTCGCTCTTTAAGATCTCTAATTTTCTTCTTTCAATATCAACAAATATCTTCTAACCATTTCAAACTTTGGAAATCTCGCCATGAGATGTACAGTCTCGTCGGCTACCATTTTGTAGGCCACAATTATTGTTATCGCAATTAATCTAAATGTCACTCCTATTTTTTTACAAATTTTCTTATTATTCAGAATTCTCTCTCCCCAGACTTTACTGGGATACCCCATACATTACTAGAGATAACACGATATTTCTGTATAGCCTACGTCTCACCTCACTAGACTCTCCTAGGTTCGGCAAAAGCCTACTCAAAGTCAAGACTAATACCTCCGCTCTTTAACCTATTTTGTTAAAATGTTCCATGTATGTCAATTTAGAGTCAACTACAATCCTCAAGTACCTCATACTACGAGGGCAAGTCAATAAGCTTTTAGAAAAATATAGTAAAACACATTTTTTTTGTTCGATTCATTTTTATTTCTCAACATAGTCTCCTTTCAGCTCAATACACTTGATCCAACGATTCTCCAACTTTTTCAACCCGTCCGAATAATATGATTTATCCAACCCTTCAAAATAAGCCTCTGTTTCGGCGATGAGCTGCTCTCTGATAGTGAATCTCTTTCCTCCGAACCATTTCTTCAGGTTTGGAAACAGGAAATAGTCGCAGGGGGCTACATCTGGCGAATATGCTGCATGGGAAAGCAATTCGTTGAATTTGGCTATCGGTGCCGGGTACGTGTGAATCCGTGCATTGTGTTGATGGAAGAGCATTTTCTTCTTCGCCAAATGGGGACGTTTTTTCTTTAAAATGTTGTTGAAACGGTCCAATAAGGCTGCATAGTAATCGCCATTGATCGTTTGCTTCGACGAAAGGTAATCGATATGAATTATACTGCGTGTATCCCAAAAATGGTGTGGCCATCACCTTTCCGGCCGACTTCACGATCTTCGCCTTCTTCGGAGTTGGTTCATTCGGTAAAGTCCATTGTTCTGACTGTTCCTTCGTCTCGGGTGTGAAGTAATAGATCCATGTTTCGTCCACAGTAATGAATGGACGCAGAAATTCATATGGATTACGTTGAAACATCTCCAAACATTGTTTTGAAATCGTCACACAATCGCGCTGGCCCACAGTGAGCAAATGTGGCACCTATCTGACAGATAGCTTTTTCGTACCCAATTGTTCGTGCAAAATTGAAATTACTGTGCCATGTGATATGCTTGTGGCCTCAACAAGCTCGCGCACTTTCACTCGTCGCTCAGTCAAAACAATATAGACTTTATCGATGATTTCTAACGTAGCAGCCTCAATTGGACGTCCCAAACGAGGTATATCACATGTGGATGTACGACCACGTTTAAATTTATTTATCCAATTGTATACGGTCACAAACGCTGCAGATGTGCTATGAACATTATCCAACTCGGCTTTGATTTCTTTCGATGTTAAACCTTTCATATGTACAGACATTTGATCACTGTACGAAACTCGTTTTTTTCTATTTTGCAAAAAATACAAAGGTTGTTCGCTTTAATTGTCTACAGAAATAAAACCACGCGATGAATTTCGCTCAAAATTTGACAGTAATCAGCTGAAAGATGCTACTTGTCAAAAACTAATGTGGCAAACTAATGACATTGCGAGTACCCTCTGACAGATT